GGTAGCAGACAGATCACCCTATGGTAAGCAATCACGGTTACCGATGAAAACCTTCCAGAGGAGTTAGAAATGCATTACTGGCCTTTAGGGGAGGAAAATTAGGCCTTTGGAAACCGCACTTATTCATTCAGTCATTCTTTCTATCAAAGACAATTGCTATTGTAATGTGGACTGTATATTAACAGACATTTTAGTTATACTCACATTGCTATACTCGTACTTTGCCGATATTATACACACCGCCTTATTGCCAACAGACTAGCCGCTCCTTTGTCAAGCTTTTGAAGATTCATCTACGGATAGATGACTTGCCTTTTCTCTATACCTTGGATAACGGTCATCACAAAAATGTCAGGCAGTTCACGAGTAAAACATTAAGGCCTAGTGTATTATGAAGATCACTTTCAATTATAATACGTTCTGTAGACAGAAGAAGGAGGTACTTATGTGACCCAAATATGTTCTTATACATATATAGCAATATCTTCTTCATCATTTTCCCACTGACCCCTAGTTCTAATACATCTGGAACTATTTGTTACAGATAATTCAATAAAAGGACACAACTCTCATAAAAGTCAATGAGTTCCACCCTTTATAGGGTTTAATGCCAATACTAATAATATATTTACTTACTTCGAATGGAAGAAAAACAGACATTATTGTTTGTGTCCTCCATAAAATGATAATACTATGTTTGTAGTTTGTACTTGCTTGGAAGTTTATTTGAATGAGTAGTTGAAAATTGGAATTCATGATTATTTAATAACAATAAAATTAAAATTAAGTCTGTAAATGTTCCGAGATTTTAAGAGTGCGCCTTTAATATAAAAAGTTATTGGAATAGCCTAGAGGGTTTCCTACAACGTCTTCTTGCTTCACTACAAAAGAAACAGGAACACGACTGTGGCAATATTCTTACTTAATTTCGTCACAAGGAAAAAGTTTTAATGTTATACAGTTTTTTTGCTAACCAACATCGCGAACTTTTCGACCAATTAGACTTGGTATTCAAATACACCAGAGTTTTCCATTAAGAAAAGACTTCGAGAGGCTTCCGCTTTCTTTGTCGGGAGTGGAAAACACTTTTTATTTTTGGAGCGAGTCTTAAAGTCAACGTACTTGTATTTGCTTAACCATTAAAGGGGTGAAGTCGAAAGCTTTTCGCTTCGAATATTTGCATGTTTTCTGCGGATCCGTTGTGCTGACAAAGAAACATCTCGTGCGAGGGTGTTAGGCTGAATAAATGATGCCCACATCGCCCTCTGATGGCTTCCATTGTTTTCAAGTGAAATGTTTTGAATGTTTGCTTTGGAGGTGAAGGATTTGAAAGGATCTTTATTGTTTTCTCTTTCGTATTGTGTGAAAGAGACAAGGATAGATGGATGTGTGGATACGGGATGATCGCTATAAAGTTTGACAGGACTATGAGATGGGGTATGATAAAGATGTGAGGAGGGTCTGGAGGTCGACAATGCAGCACATTCCTTAGAGTGTTGCGCCCAGCTTTCTAATAAGACATTAGTGATGACAGGTGCGGTATTAAAGCTCTCAGGTGCGAGAACTCCTTCGTGTCGAGAGCACGTTTTACGAAATGTTACGCAAAATTACCGCGAGCTGTCACGTTTGTTGGGGGCAATTTTGATTCAAGAAACCCGCTGTATTTTTTTACATTTGTAGAAACGTGTTGCTTGTTATTTTGATTAGAAAGTTGAGTAATTTACCTTCGTGAAAAGTAGCATTTATAATTTATCATTATAAAAATGTTCATCATTATAAATTAGTTATGAACATCTATTTGGTCAATGTGCCCCTTATATGCAACTACGAAATAGCTGATTCACTTTTTTAATCTTAAAGTAGGTCAAACCAAAAAGCTACAAGCAAGTATTGGCAAATTACCACGCGCAGTCAGCACAATAACTAGAGTTGACCCGGATAACCGTATGTTAAAACGTCACGCGTATACGCAAACGCTGGAAATTAAAATTTTCCCCTCCCGAGCCAAATCCGGGGCGGTCGGGCGAACTTAATATCCGGGAGGGGAGAGGCGTGGCGCAGTTTTACCTTTGAACCACTGTCTCGTGTGAAGCTAAAAATACTGTTTTACATATAAATGTTCGAATAAAATGGGTGTCGCGATTATCATATTAATCAGAGTCAGGTAAATTATCAACAAAGGTTACCCTTTTAGATGAAGCTGGTAATTGTTTATGGAAAATTGTGTGCTTGCGAAAGTTCACATTGCTAGCACGAGTAGTAACACATAACATAACATCACGCCATTTACCCCAGAGGTGCACATACTTAATGCTACTGTATAATGTTACACCCACTTTTCACTATTTATGTTATGAGTCCCATGTAAAAGGGGGTGAGGGTGTTACCATATACCGGGCACAATTCCAGTCTCCGTGTTACTACTAAGAATTATTTAAAAAAAACCCAGTAATGTTTTGCCCAACCAAGGAATCCTTTCCCGGCAGTCGCACTTGCGACTTCTCAGCCAACGAGGCAGTCCTAGTTAATCCTAGGTAATAGACCTGTGGGGACACACAGACATGTTAGCATATTAGGAACTTAGCGTCAGTATGTAACCTAGCGTTTAAGGTATGAAATAAAACAGACTAGACTCTCGAGCGTATCATTTGTTTCCACACACTATACCCATAATAACAGACCTATAGTCCTAGGTAATAGTATCCTTGTATATTTCCCACAGAAATGTCTATAAAACTATTAATACTAAAATTGTCTACTAAATTATATTAAATTCATGACATACTTGACAATAAGTGCTAACTAGTACTCCTTTGGGAATTATGTTTTTTGAAAAATCTAACTCAGTACTAACTTTTACCTGCGACTTCGTCCAGTTGTTTACCGTTCAAAACTCTCCAAGTAACGTACGTGCCTTTCAGCTTTCTACAACTTATAATTTCAGTTAAACCGTCAATTTAAAGGGACTTATACTTACTCTTTATACGAAATATCACTAGATTCACAAGCAAAACGTTCATTTAACGTCGAGTAATTTATACTTATTTAGATCGCCACCGTTTACCTTTTGACAAAGTTTTACACCGAGCCAAGTAATACCTAACTTGAATCTAATCTTAATTAAAGGTAAACAGAAAATATCAACTTAACTGCAAAATGTTGATGAGAAGCAACTGATATTTATCTTAAGTCGTGTTACTTTAAGTGTTGGTTAGAAGTAAAACAATTTTCAAGATCAAATTTTTCATTTAGATCTGGACGGAGATTGGAAAGGAATTTTCTAACATAACATAATATAATATCGCGCCTTTTATCCCCGAACAGTTAAGCAGAGGTGCACATTATGTCACTGTACAATGTAACACTCACTTTTCACTATTTATGTTATGAGTCCCATGTAATAGGGGGTGAGCCTATTGCTATATACCGGGCACAATTTCAGACTCCGTGCTACTAAGAATTTTTCGACACAGGAATCGGACACGAGACCCCTTGCCCGGCAGTCGCACTTGTGACCTCTCGGCCAGCGAGGCAGGCAAGTGTTACTAATACTATACAAAACAAAATACACCCACCATTTATTTCAGAAAACACAGAGCAGCAAAATACGACAGCAGCGTTCTTTAACAAACGGTTCGTTTGTAAACTGTAATTTCCGACCCACATGTCAAACGAGGATAAATTATGTCTAACCACCTTAATTATATCAAGGAGATTCATATCCCATATCAGTGCTGTTGAAGATGATGAAAATATACACTGTTGATCTCCAATTGCACTTCTTCTTATGGTGCCACTTCATTTCTGAAAGTTGGTCGTTAATTGCACTTAAAGGAGATAAAAAGTTAAAAATTGTAACCCGTACCTAACCTCTTATTGCTGGTGCATGAGACATAATAAAAAACACATTGTGCCTTACGTAGATCTGTGTTCCAGAGAACTATGGGTTAACATCTAACCCTAATCTAAAAAAAACGTACCCACAGATATGAACTCAATATAACAACTCCAACATTATTAATTCCATCCTCAAACGCAAAGTACTCAGCGTTGCTTACAAATCATAAAACAAAAACAACGCGAGATTTCGTCCGTGAAAGTGGTTTCAATTCAATTAAGTTTTTACCTTCATTCTCATCTACGTTTAACTTTAACGCGTTTTTCTTGAGACGGTGGGCCACTAAATATTTTCCTGTTGTATTAAAGAGCTTTGTTATAAGAAGGATTTTGCTCGGAGCCTCGAGTGTCGGGTGCACCGTACACGTTTAAACCTTAACACTGAAAAAATAAACGGCCATTTTTACTGTTATTCCACGTTTTGTTACTCCTCAGTGTCTTCTACAGAAAGGGTGATGTTTTATGTTTAGAACTTAAGATAAATGAGAGAGGATTTTGACCGAATTTTTTTAGGTATGCTATGAAGTTTTTAATAGCAGCGGGTATCCAGTAAATATCAAGAAATGCTTTAACCTATAACATTTATGAAAATCTTTAAGTTATCGGTTGATAAATTAACGAGCTATGCATTTGCATAGCTATCATACAAACATACATACATGCATACATCATTAATTATAGTGTGTATATTTTCGTTATTCATAGCAACATAGATTCTCAAATGTAGATGGTTACTTTTATCTTTAATCATTAGATAAATTAATTGTCTTAATTAATAAGTAAATTTTTAGCTTTACAAATTAGGGCCAAAATGAAACAAAGAAAATATTTTTTAGATATTATTTTATTAAAATTTTTAGTCTGTATTCCGGTGAGTACTTTATAATGAAGTCTTTGTACAGACTTTGTTGATATCTATAAATACACTTACTTCCTTTACTCAATAACAAAATTTGTGCTTTTGCATACAGAAGGACATTTGATTATAATACAAACAATATAATAATTACTGACTCTCAAAACCAAATCCAAAAATACAAAATGGTTCACAATAATAATTAAATACAAATATTAACTAATTACATTTTTAATTTTGTGTATCCGTATTTTTTTAATAAAATTAAAGAGGATCAGTCGTGTTTTGAAATTTAACAGAAAGGATGTCATACAACCTGTTATACCGTCTCCTAAATTTATTTACATATTTACAAACACTATTGGTCCATCTATGTTGAAAACTAAAAACAATTTCTTTGCTGAAGAAACATTACAAAAAATATTAAGACAAAGGCCGCATCATCTTTAACCTCAGAGGGAGTAAGAACAGCCCTACGTAAATAATTCAAAATGCTAAAGTAAAAAATCTTCAATGTTCGTGCCTTATTTCAACAAGTAAAACAGCAAAGTAAATTACGAAACTCAAATAGTCGTAAACAAAGAAGATTTCAGATAACGACCACCTGTTTCTTCAGCAAAACTTTTTTTTTCTATCAAAAACTAAAATCGCTTAAAAACTGACTTTTTCGAAGAACCATTATTGCTTCTAACTTCGACAAAACGGTCGGCGAAGATTAAATTGGTATCTCTTTACTCTTCAAGTATCTAGTTTTTAAATTCAATATTAAATCCAAGTTCGATCGGCTGTTACAATTTTATAAAATATCACAAGAAATTGCCAAAATTTCATTACTTCAGACGTTCAAAGGAAAATTATATTTGGAATCAAAGGACCTCCAAAAGGGTCTTCTGTTCTCTTAGATTTGTCCGCTCGAACTATTAATAAAATACACTGACTCACATTTAACGCCGACGCCGCGCCGACACTCCGACAGAATTGAAATACATTTTTCAATCCTAAAGCTTTAGACAATAATCTTAGTATTGTGTTTAGTCATCTTAATAGCAAGTATTAACATAAATAGCTGCACTTAAATACAATAAAATGCCGTCTTAAATGGTTGGAAAATAAGCTTATTACAACGTCAGATATTCTAGAACATAAATCTCTTGACAGTAACGCCTGAGAAACAATGTCCATTCTTTTAAATAGAAACTTACTCTGCATTCATACAATTGTAACAACCGAGCGAGGGCGACGACGATTAATCTTTATTACTTTACTTTAAGTTCATTATTTTTGAGATTATCATAATTGTAATTAGGATGGATATGCGGCTGAGCTGCGAACTATGTACAATTATTTCGCTATTTACAAACATTTTATACATACATCGATAAATCGTCCAATAACACTCTATATTACACTCCAACGTCTTAGATATGATAATCACGAACGTCACTTATTCAAATATCTCACTTCGAGTTTTTGAAGAAAATCACTGATTCAGTTCACATTGTCCTTGGAATAAAAGTCTTTAATAATTTATAACCTTCTGGATTCAAGTGGCACAGTAAATGTCTATATATAATCTGTAACACACCTGAGAAGGTCCGGCTCAAGTCACACGATCTCGTCATGATGAACTACGTCGCTGCAACTGCCGGCTCGTTGCAGTCATGCTCGCTGACGTCACACACGCAACTCCTCCATCGTCACATTCGACTTTGCGTTCAATTGCGTGTTCTTTTTCGTCAGAGTGCTCGTGTTGATCATCTGCATCTGATGTGCTGATAGCAAGGGCTGGTTCTCTTGGAGCTGCCCACTTGCTAGTGTATTTATATTACTCTTCCCAAGTTTTGGCGGAGGAGGCGCCCGAGGTAAAGTCGCCATACCAGCGACGTTATTACTTGGAAGATCTGCGAATTCTGGGGGTGGTAATTGATGATGGGAATGATGATGATGGCTTAAAATTGTAGCAGGGTCATTCTTCAGACTTGTCTGGTAAGTCAACGCCCCCTCTAAGTCACCACAAATGTTGTTTGGCATCTGGCCATTCTCGACTCGTTTTTTTAAATGAGCTCCATTTGTGTGACCATCTTGTCCATTCATTCTAGTCTTGTCTCGTTGGTAGTATACACCAGCAAATATGAGAACATTCAATATGAGCAAAGAGCATCCTATGGCTATAGTTACACTAAGAGCAGTAGAATATGCTGCGAAACCGTCCTCTGGCGGGGTTGCAGTAGTTGCATCAGTTTTATGGACTTCAGTAGCAGCAGTGCTTTGTGTAGGAGTATTGACTCCAATGATATTGAAGTTCAATGGAGACGTGATGTTCAGGATACCCAAAACCGGTATCTTAGTCGCCAAACCAGTATCTGTGATCACCATATCTGTAGTCTTTTTGAATGGTGGACTGAATGTTTTGAGCGTAGGTTGAAGAGCAGCATCCTCATGCTCGAGCTGATGATGTGAAGGAGGCACATCTTCACCTCCAGGACGGTGTAGGTCTGGTACCAAGTTCAGCCAGAATGACAATCTGTTAACAAAATAAATTCTTTCAACATTCCATTTATGGAAAACCTATAATCGCAAAACGATGTTGTTTAATAATTTAGCACATCAATTACATTAGGTTCACGACAAGATTTTATAAAAGGAAAAGCTTGAATAAATTTTAGTAATATCGTATTCTCAAAGAAATTGAAATACGATTCGTACTCTTGGAAAAAATATCATAGGAACTGCTTTGAAATCATTCGTTGAATTTTTCTTTTTGTAATAAGACATACCTGTGAGCTCTATAGTGGTTCTTCAATTTAGCTTTGGTGTCAATGTTCAAGTACTTTTTATGTACTGCTTCGTACGCAGTCCATTCTATATTCTTCATTCTCACTCTTTCTTGTCTACCTGCCCTTATTGGGTCACTCTCCTGCGCTTCGTTGGGATTCCTAGACAGTAATGAGATCTATTTAGATAAAGTCTAACCCGCTTTCGATTATTAAAGTTTATCTTCTTTTTAGCTTTCCAGCACTTTCTTAACCCTAACATATTATACGTTTAATTATGCTGGTTGCGGTTTAAATTGAACTGTAGGTACAACAATCTGGCTTTCCAAATATACCGAAAAATAAATGACTTTATTTTGAGGTAAGTTCAAAAGTTCAACAACTTATAGTCTTAGTTTTAGTCAAAATGTAATACGGTTATACTAAAAAAATCTTAGAATTAATAACGAATCCCTTTTGAAATAAAATATTTTGAGGTTCAATGTAAAAGCTGTAATAAAAAATAAAACTAGATTTTTAAATGTAATCTAGATGAGATCATAAAATGGGATTAAAAAAAAACGTCTAGATAAAGGCGTAAAAAGATTTTCACACATTGTTTCATCTACTTTTATGCCTACATAGTTTAATTCTGGGGATCCTTAAATAAAATACAATGGAAATTGAATCTTTTATCAAGGACTGGCTACGAAGGGTCAACGTTTCTTCAAAGACCCTTTATTCAAAGTTTGTCCCAGTGACTTTGGAACAATTCAGAACGCTTCGGTACATTGAAAATTATTTATTCGAGATTGTTCGGACATAAAATATTTTAGATCTTGAAAAGTTTTCGGCAATAAAGGCAAACCCAAAATCAATTTCATAAAAACTCCACTTACCCGGTTTTAGCGAAATTGCCCCAATATAGCATAACGGACTCTGAAAGGGCTACTTCAGCTTTCGTATAGTTCCTCGAAAAGTGGGCCAGCCCGCCCACTAGTGGGGCACCAAACACGTAGGGCAACTCTTCACCGTGGATACAACCCTGGCGCTGCGGACAAATGAGGTATTTAACCACTTGAACAAAGATGGATAATAACGTAAGGTCTGACTCTTGTTTGGGACATTCAATAGGTATTGTTATCATCATCATGTATTTTCTAAAGTCGGTGAGATCTATCAGAAAAGTATAACGGAGATGAGTCATGGTTTTTTCATTGCTTGGGAAGTTTAAATTCGTGTATTTTAAAACTTAAACACTTGGGCTTCTATATAATATATCATTTTATAGTTTTTGTAGTTGAGTGTGTAACAAACAGTAAGTATCATTAGCAAGTTGCCCTTTATAGTGTTAGACCTTCAGAACACTATTCCCAATACACAAAATTGTTCCTTAAGCCGCCTCATTGCCCTCGTTAGCTCATATATTGCAAACAAGGTAACTCCACACTTCCATATTAACAGCAACATCGCCAACTAAGATAGACCTTCAACAGCGCTAAAATAGTTACGTTTTGGGTGTCTACAATAAATGGTCAGATAGTAATTGCTCCTCAAAATGTGGATAGTTAGCAGTTTGTCGGAAAGCGGTTGATGTTGGTTGTGTGATGTATCGGTGTTAATGAGTAGGTTAATGTGAACTATTATTAGAGCGAGCTGGTGTTATCGCGGATTGATGTCCAAATTGTGCGGTAAAACTGTTAATTTTGTACAATTTACGTGGAATTATTTGGTAACATTTAAATAAATTATTTTTGGGATTTGCATGCATTGAATTTATTTTGGTGTCAATCTGATGATATCTGAGTAATGTAATTTAGTCATTTGGCTGTACACATTTATGTGGAACTCAACGTTAAACCGATTTCAGAAATAAAATTCAAAGCTCAATATTTTGTTTCAGCAATCTGGTGCAGCAATTTTTTAAAGATAGATGACCTAAATGCTTCCGCGGCACGTACACTTTCAGTGTTCAGGGCCGTGAGTTCGTTGGTACCGATATTTGCATGGCCTACACAAATGTTTGTTTCAATTTCAAATGTTCCGACATATGATGTAGGAGAGCGAGCCTGTTTTGAATTATAGTCTTCAAGATTTACTAAACAATGAAACTTATTCTATTCCAAGTTCAAAAACTAAATAAACTGGATACTAAGTCATGCAAAACTTTGACTAAATTGAATAATTTCATAATTCAATTGGTGCCCAGTTTTGGATCGTTAGCGCTAAATGTGAGCCGTTCAAGGCCAATGTAATAGCTCGGTGAACTCCTATGAAATAAGTTTTGTCGAACAAATTGTTTCGAAATTTCATTAAACAGATCGTTGTGAAATAAATACATTGTGATATAAAGCCTTGGTTTCGTATTGCGATTTATTTTTAAATGAACTTGTTATATTTATAGAGGAAGATATTTTAAAGTAGAATTAATTTATAGATTGACTTAAAATAATTTTAAGCAGTAGGTATAACAAAATTCTTTATTTCATAAATTTCGCTAAAATGATATGAATATGAATTAGAATCCTCTGGAATCTACCTCTATATGGAGCGACATGATACACGAAGCTTTTAATTAAACCTGTTTGTTGACATAATTTTAGAATAACTGAGACCAATAGTTTTATAGTTTGAAATTTTCAAACCACAAAGGACCCATCTTGAGACATCAGAGAATGTTATCCAAACACATATTGACCTTCGGCTAGTATACTTAATTGTTTGTTAGCCAATATACGTAAAGATATCTAATCCAGTTTACTTGATAACTGTCTGGAACAGTTTACATACTTAGATCAAGTATGAACGCTGATATCATCTTCGTGTAAGAAGAGGCCTTTGTCTATATGATTTTCTATATTTATATTAATTTTTTTTACAACCTTAACTATCCTTTGTTTACCCACTAGCACAACATTCACCTCCAATTTCAATTAGAATTGAACCACATGCACATTTGGAAACTATTTCTGTTTTGTACTCACCTGTGGGTAATCTCCATACTTCGTCTGGTAATCGAACACGTAGAGGTAGGAGTTACGACGGAGCGCTGAATGCGTGTCTGCTGTGAGGACCATCGGAGCCACTACTTGAGCATCACTGAGCGCTTCCAGTGTTTCATCTCTGGTAACAATAAATACAGTTGTCATAATGGCCTAATTAAGATGTTTGCAGTAAAACTTCCTATTGTGTTACAATTTTTGGTGTATACCATTGGTTCCCAAAGTTCTCTGGAAAACGACCAATCTAAATCAGTTTACCAAGCTCAGGATCCACTTTTACCAATGTGAAAAGTAAAATACAGAATGGTTGGTAAGTGTATCATATTATATCACCCAAAGTTTGGGAAACATTGGTCTATACACATAACTTCTTTTTTATTTTCCGCAAGAGCTGGTAGTGGAGCACATTGGAACCACAATTACCTACTGCAAGTTCATCTGTAATTGTGTTGAAGGCCCCAACTAACGAGGATAGTATTTTTATTAAAATTGTATAAACTCGCACGTTTCGTCCCTCTTGCCTCTCGTCAACTTGTTAAAGTTGAACTCGATCAAGAAAATAACCAGAAATTCTCGGTTTCTATTTCCAAGAAATAACTCACATATTGTTATTTGTTAATTTAACATGTACCTACAATAGACACAACACACGCTTCATCCCCACTAATTATATTAGCAAAGACACAAATCAATTATAATAATATCCTCTGTAGTCACTAAACAATTAATTATAATTACTGTCCAATATCTTGTTAATTATTCCCAATGGAATTGCTGCAAATACTAATTGTGATAATATTAATGAATTCTTGATAGAAACAGGAAAAATGGACGCCCCATTCTCTCTTTTATTTCGGTCATCGGAAGAGGTCAAAACGAGGGTAATTAATGCGATCAATACTGAGTTGTTGCTGAAATATATGCTACTACTAATGCATGGTCGATCCAAAATGATGTCGGCTGAGAAGAGTACTGTCACCGCCCTTTGTCTTTTAGAAAGTATCGTAAGCGTCAACTGTAAACATTTGGCAGGGTTCAGGTAATAGTTAGGTATACATTTTTATAGCACTGAATCTTTTCAATTTTAATCTTCAACCTGCCTGCCAAATATTAAAATTATGGCAGACTACTATGTGTACCTAGAAGAGGCTATAGTCTAATGGGCTGTCATAGGGCTGTCATTTAATATTGAACCTTTTTTGTAGGACAAGCCCGGCACAACCTTTCAAAACCGCTACAATTCCTGTAAGCCAGGATCTACAGTAAAAACAACCATGAACATATCGGAACACCATGAAAACAAGTCCGGTGCGTCCCAAAAGTCATGAATCATCTTGGATCACGCAAAGAAATAAATCAGAAGTTATTAATAGGGGCGACGAAACAAAACGATAATTTTCACTTCCGTCAATGACTTTATGCAAGATGCAGAATGAACTAATATTGAAACTGACGCCTTAACATGTCCCTAAGAACTATAATCGAATGATTACCCAAAGAAAAAAAGCAGCAAAAACTACTATAAGCCAACTCCCAAACTAAATGAAAATAAATGAAGCGCTCAAGGTCATAAATCCTAAGAACAAAGTCTTCATTTCCTTCGCTGTATGTGTTAGGTACTGAGTTTCTTCAAAATCTCCCACCCTAAGCTTAGTTTTAAACAGTTTCTAAATACAGTCTCAAGTTAGCCCAGTTCAACACTTAGCTCTGCACTTTCAAGATATTATCTTCGTCTGCAATTTCAAGACAAAATCTGACTTTGTAGACAAAACTAAAGACTTTGTCTGCACTGCATGCAAAAGATAACTTTGTAGTTTATTTTTTAAGGTCTGATTTGCAAATAATAAGTTTTACTACTGCAAATACAAACTTTTGTTCTTTTCTTTCATGTATTTTACTTATTTGTGAAAATAGATGGTTAAAGCGTGATGAAGGCTTTTTTAATCACAACTAACGGCTAGTACTAAAATATTTGAACACCATGTCTTTCAGCGTCAAACAATTGTTCTGACGGTTATTTATGAGTGTCATACACTAATGAATGTCTAAATCAGTGGTTCCCAAAGTTGTAGAGACTACGACATATCTAAATCAAGTTACAAACCTCAGAACCCATATAACATATATGTACATAACATCATGGCTGTCTCCCATGGGGGGTAGCAGACTCTATCCACTTTTAGGAAATGAAACTGTTACTAAAAGTAAAATATAGAATGGTTGGTTAGCGTATTATTATACATACAAGGCCCACTAAAATTTCACTTGCGATCCACCAATGGGTTGCGACCCATAGTTTGGGAAACCCTGGTCTAAACTATTACATTGCATACGTATAATTTTAAACAATGTTGACTCATGATTTTTTCTTAAACATAAAACAGATCAATATTTTAGACACAGTCTTTTCTGAAGAAGCTTAAGTAAGCAGCAATTTTAATAATTACTCACCTTATATTAATTGGGTGTTGCACAGGCCGTTCCCAATCAGTGTATTCATTGATGATAGTTGCAAGAATCTCAGAAAGATGATAACTATAGGTGTTCCTCACGAAAGACTTCAAGATCTTCGATCTCCTGTCAGCCTCAATGCCGTACTGGACGTCATCTCCGCTGAAGGCGAAATATGCTTCTGCTTTTGTCACTCCTAACATCAGGTCGTATCTAGGAAAGAACGTAATGGATTACTGATTTGTTTAAAACAATCCAGTGTTGAAATATAGGATTCATTGGGATAATAGAATTAGATAATACAACTTAGACGTGTTTAAGAGTGTATCGATAATAAAATTATTTAATAAAACAAGATTATTACACATTTCATAAAGTCATAGAAACAGAATACATACTTGGTAAGCTGTGCCACAGCGCTCTTTCTCATGAGTACAGCGTTGATGATGTTGATGGCGTTCTGCGCTTGCTTGCCGAGCGGCGCATGTGCAACAGTCTGCCCTCCCCACTCGTAGCCATTCTCAGGGTTCACTAACAGGTCGCCGGTGTCTGTTGAGATAGAGACACGTTTGTATTATACACAGGAAGACCAAGACAACAATCTTGATCTTCCTGTGTATTAAATATTTTAAATGGTACTTTCGATTAAAGATAGTATTCACAGATTTCAAAATATATCTGAAGGGGGTAAGTACTATTTTCATAGGTTCATATTGGTAGCAGAATAGTGTAGTAAGTAAACAATAATTTCAGGTGAAGTATGCTGTTTTTAATTTTGATAAAGCATAATATATACGGTCGAATTGAGAATTTTACATATGATGGCTTAAAAGTAAATTTAATTTATTTTCAGTGATAGTGACTCAGTCCTTACAATTTCAAAGCGTCTATTTCATACTAATGGAATTAAAAAAACTACATTTCTTAAACAAACTAGCTAGCATTAATTCCCAAGATAACTATACCACTATTTAGAAGGGACCTCGCCAAGAAACGTAGACTGAACAAACTTAAAATTATCAAAGCCGACTTATAAGAAAGAGTAAAGGAGACAACTGCCATTAATTGTCCGACATCACAAAGAGCGGAGATCAACGTAAGAAAAAAAAATCCTGTTCAACAAAGTGTGCAAACAGAAAACGTTGACGCTCCAAGAACACGAGATGAGAAAAGTTCTCAGAGACAATTTAATAACAGCGGGTGGACGAGACGGTAGAATGCCGATGCGAAAACACGGAAACTTTTGTGGATTTATGTCTCGTGTTTGGGTTATGGTGGCTGCACTTCATGAAGTCCTAGTGTTTACTGTTTTAATTGAAAGTTTAGAAGGAGAAGTTGAGCGTTGAAATGTAAATAGTTACGGTTAAGGTATTTGTGTTAGCTTTTTTTGCTAGGAGTAATTTTAAGAGAAGGTACACACAAGCTCATCAAATTCTAAGTTATCCATTAACATTGAGTTTATGTAGAAAGTTGCCAAGTAAAGGTATAAACAGTAGTCCATTAAAAATACCTTATCAAATTGCTTAAGTCCAATAATGTATAGTATCTCCGTACAGTATATAATCCGTACAGTATTGAAATATGTATCAGAGACATTGTAGAACATACTTTTTTTAAAAAGAGTAACGAATGGAGTTTCTTGCTCGTTCTTTTCCATTCGAATCTACGTTTTGAAATGAGCACCTAGCTCACCTAGCTTCACCTAATTTGTATTTGTTGACGTTTCAAAAGTACCAAACTATGGTTTAATTGAAATAAATGCTTTGACTTTGACTTTGAAATGATTTGACCAGCTCTATTCAAAATTATGTACTCACCCTACTGTCAAAGAAGCAATTACCTACTAAAAATAATAGGTTAGAAGAATTTATATAGCTATCGTTCAGCGTTTAATAAATACTTAGAACTGTTCTTAGATATAATAACAGTAAATATGTAAATAACAAACAGATAAAAGTGGACTTCAAAGAAACCATTAAACTGATTATTAATATTTTCCCAAGCACTTATACTAGGTCAGTATCATTTCGGTAATATTAACCCTGAGCTCTCAATAAACAATTACAAGACGAAATTAAAGACTAAGAGAACAAAACAAATGGAATTAAGACACGTTTATTTAAGTACTACACTAAACTTAATTAGAAGTGGATAATGGAATAGTATTAAATACAGCTGTTATTGATTAAGGAGTCTACGCTAATGAAATGTCCCTATATTCACAAAGCTGACAATACATTGTTCAACTTTAAAATCATATCCAAAACTCCGCACTTATCGTACAGCTCGTAGATCAAAGAAGCAGTGTAAAAAGTACACTTAAAGAACCTTTTGAACGGTTGAAATAAATACCTGCTTTCTACCTTTTGTTTATTTCTCTTCCAAGAAAATCGCAATGCGCATTTACAGAAGCACTCGGGTCATCTAAATGAATTGCAACAAATCTCCGCTTTAATTCCTCAGTTCTTAGCAGATGTTGGTTTCTCAGAAGATTTGTAAAAGCACCGTCCACAGACTTGAGACGAACAATAGAACAGTGATAATTAAGAAAAAGAAAAATAAAATGGTTAAAGAAACTACGACTGTGGCACTTGACGGAATGATTTGTGAAATGGTATAACTAAACACACTAGAATACAAGATTTAAACTATGAATAGACAAGTAATAAATGACAAATTTTGTATTCCCAATATATTTATTCACAATCCTAGAAATTCAGAGGTAACTAAGACCTTTTCTGTAATTAGTTTTCGTCTTTTTTTGCTATCAGCCCGAAATGTATTGGCAAACTATTTGGGCGCCAGCCAATCAAATTGAGACGAGACGTAACCAAAATGTAATTCTAGAATGGACCTTGAAAGATTTTTATTTAGTTAGGGTCCTATAGCAAAAATGGATGTCAAATTAATCCAATAAGTCTTTTCTGTCGAGAACACTGGCATCGTTATTATCATCATAAATGAGATAACATTATTAGTCCCTAAATATAAGACGTTAAATAATGCTTTTCTTTGTCTTTCCAATTAATACCTTCTAAGAAATAATAATCACAATTTTTCTTTATCGAATCAAGAAAATTCTTAGAATGTTTCAGTAGAAAATATCACACATTTTTGTCTTTGATATTGGTTTCTTTGTAATAGAAGATAGGTACGTACTAGATTATTTTTGGAGAAGACGCAACTAATAAGGATCTTTTTGTTCATTCTTTTCTAAGGAAATCCTTTTGAGTATCAAGTTCATCTTAGTAGAAGACAAGAGATAATAATATATTGTGAGAATATTAATTCATAGTAAAACACGGAAAGGTGTTCTTGTAAGTGAGTCCTTAGTCTTTCCTTTGAGTCCAATGGCCGAGTTCCCGATTCTGTCATTTATCTTAGTTACACTTGTTTGTGACCTCTGTAGTGTATATTTTATATTTTTTTCTCCTCCGCACTTCAATCGAGAATAGTATTTCTTGCTTATACAATAATGGCGTTGTTACAAGTTTATTGAAGGCTTACGATTGATGTAATAAAAATGGCGATTCTGCTGGAGACGTCTTTGTATATTTATTGGGAAATGTATTTGGAAATGAGTTTTTCTTTTGAAATTACTTGTCAATAGTATAATATTTATTTATGTTGACACAAATATTTTATGCGAAGTTATTGAGGATGAAATGAAAGTAAGTCATTGCCCGACTATTCCTTTTATGAATGATGATAAATAAGAATGTCTCAGTTTTGATGTGAATGCTTGAGACTTTGAACGTTGGAAAAAAAGTATGTATCTTAATAATGCACTCCTTCTGGCTTCTCCTATTGGCACATTGTGTTAGAGATTCCTTAAATCAGTTAATACATGACTATTTCCAAAATTCGTGCTATATCTGAGAATTTTTTAATAAAATATTTTTTTTTTCATTTCTACAGACGCAATGAATAATTCTGTACATAAATTGAATAGGTAACCTATATAATGAAATTCATATAAAGGTAACACAGATAATACACATATATTACAAAAGATTTTTGCACCTTCAAAATTTACCTAAGAAATCTAATTAGACAAGTAGGTATGCCTAACTAACTTGTGTTCTTGTCTTAGTAATCAGATAACTTAGGTATAGGAACTTTATATGTATATATATAACTTAGTAGCCATAGTATACTGTACCTATAACAACACCGTCGACGCTAGGCCCGAAGGCATAAGCAAAGTCGGGAGCTTGTACTGGCGCAGACAGCAGCGCCTCTAGCGGCCGCTCCCGCAAACACCGGAGTAACAATGGCGGCGTCAGTTCTGGGGACAATGTTATTCTGTCAGTCATTACGTAACGTGTCTAGAGCTTATAATAACTTTAGTATAATTTCTGTTATGACAGGTCTCATAAGAGGTGCCGTTTGAACTTTATTATTTTGTAATAAGGTTAGATTTTTACTGTTTAGGGCAGCATGATGTGCTGTACGCCCATTGCTTGTTTTGTTAAAAGTGTTATTGTAATACGAAGATAGCTTATAACCAAAATCAGCCAATTATATTCTGTGTAGTGTTGAACGTTCTAACCACTTTGAACGTTCTTTTAGTTGATATTAGAGACAGAGCTCACTCTAGTATCGTATATTCAGACTCTTTAGCAAACTTAAACTTGATTTTGATATAAAACTAAAGATAAAACTTTTACACAAAAATGAGTCAACCACTTCTTTGAAATGAGTATCGTAGTGGCCCCGAGGTTCAAGGCGCCCGGCAAATTACCAATGTGACTTTTTCCTAGTTAAATGTACTTTCTAAGATTATTTAGGCATCCCTGACAAACGGTGAAGGAAAACATCTTAAGAAACCTGGGCTTATAATTTCTAATTATAAATTTGAAATCGCCAACTCGCATTGAGTAAGCGTTGTGATTAATGCTCAAACCTTCTCCGTTTTTAGAAGGGGCCTTAGGTCAGAAGTGGCACTTATAGGCTGTTAATAATAATGATGATCATGACTTCTTCAAACACAAATTACCTACAACAACTATAGTAGACTCCAAATTATAAGGTAGGTAATAAATCATTCCATTTACTTAGTATTTAAATTCCAGACTGACGTTACAAAGTAACTAGAACCCAGTCTATTGTACTGAACAGGTGTTGTAAGCATTTGGATACTAGGCTCCAGGTGTCACTTGATTGCCAGTATCACGTCAGTGTCCGAACTAAAGGCTGGACACACATAGCTCTTAATACCACTACTAAGTCGAATGTAGCGCGATTCTGTGTCACAGTGTGCTCAATGTTTGACGTGGTTTCGAGTGCACTGAGTGTATTTAGGGACTATTTTTGTTTGTGTTGTTTTGATATGTTTGTTTTATTTATGTACATATCACTCTTAAATTAAAAACAATAATATCACACCTTTTATCCTCTAAGGGGCAAGCAGAGGCGAGATTACGGCACTTAATGACACTGTACAATGTAACACCCACTTTTCACTATTTATGTTATGAGTCCCATGTAACAGGGGGTGCGCTTATTGTCATATATTGGGCACAGTTCCAGACTCTGTGCTATTACTGAGAATGTATTAAAAAGCCCAGTAGTACTTTGCCCGACCCGGGAATCAAACCCAAGACCCCATGCCTGGCAGTTACAACTTGCGACGACTAGGCCAACGAGGCAGGCAGTTCAATTACAAATAACAGAACAATAAGCTGGACTAGCGCAGTAAACAATACAATCAAAGATGGCGACGAGCACTATTTCTGAATTTCCATAATTTTTGACTAAATTATTAAAAATCATTGACCAAACAATTTTCGCTAGATTAATGTTTTCTTTACAAACTTAATCTTTTTAGTCTGGAATTAATTTTGTAATACAATTTTATTATTATTATGTTTTAAGACAACCAACTCAAACTGGAATTTTGCAATGCATCGCGCAACTGGGTGCTTTCTTTGTACCTTTGCTATTGTAGTCAATAAGAATACCTTGTAGCATTTCTTGTTGGAATACTAAAGTATAAATTAAAATTTTTCTTCGTCTTTTACATTTAATAGCAGTTCAGCCTCAGCTGCCCTAAATACCTCGTTATTCATTTTAATACAAATAATGTAAACAATAGTGGTTTGAGCAAATCCAAACAATAAGCTTCTGTTAGACTATGAATTTATAAATTGCACACATAAAATATCTATGATTGCATACGAAACATGACACCCAAGCGCGTACACCAAATAACTAACAACACAGTCAGATTACAAACCGTATACCCATTAAATTAAATCACATATTCGTTTACACCATAAAACGGCGTACCTGGCTATCAGCTCTCACTTTGGGATGACTATGAGACTTTACAAAGGCGGTAACATGAAGTGTGTCGTCCATTCAGATGCACCACGTGCGATGTATTGGACCCTAGCCAAGTGTGATGGCCCAATAGTCTAGCAGTTCGCTTAACAACAAGTTACTGTATTGCGTATGCAAGTTTAGAATGTTCTAGTTCAATTAAGGTACTAGTGTGGATGTTACGATATTTTTGATGTAACTTAAAAGAAAGAAAGCAAAAAAAATATGCAGCACCAGGCACAATGCAGCATATTAAATAAAATATAAAAAAAATAAAGGTGTGACAGTGGAAGTAATAAAAACATTGAGTTGAAAAATTAAAACAGAAGAATTAGAAGAGAGACGCTGACAACATGCCTATGCTAAAAGGGTCACCCACTCAGGGTAAGCCAGTCATACTAGTCACAGCACTGATTTTCAGTGGGCACCCATGCAGGTACTTACGAGGTAACTTGTTTTTCTTTGGACTTAATAGGTCGACGTTTGACCACCATCTTGACTGGTGGTAACTGATGTTTAATGTGTCCGTTCTGTGATCTATATAATAGTGTTGTTACAGACGTCTGAGTGCCAATCACGAATAACTATCGCAATCGTAACGTAATACCCGGCTCTAGTAAACCAAGCAATCAGAGCAAATATGAACGGTTTTTAATCCGACATGGAGATAGCAGATAGATCACCAAATATGTATGTGGTTAAATGATGCCCGGATAATATATACGTCATTTATACCTCGTTCCACAATACTACGTTATTTAAAAAAAAATACATGTTCGCAATACGGCAATGTTTTACTTAAAACAACCGTCCGCGTCGGATTGTTCCTAGTGGGTCTAAATACTATGGTTACCACAATTTGTACGCCTCCATGCATAGCTTGGCGCCTTATTTTAATATCATTTATAAGACCTGTATCTGTATGCACCTATATTAACAAATAAAAGGCATTTGATTTGATTTGGTGATTAATTAGTGTATTGACCAATATAGCTAGCACTTACCGGGTGAACAATTTGCATGTGTAGCGACTATTGCTGCGTACTTGCTTGGATCAGCAACGAGCGACCACGGGCTTAAGCCTGACCCTGACATCAGCACTGCTCTGTGGAATAGTAGGCCTGAAACAAATTCACTAGGTTATTTTGGTAATCAATATTTTACATGTTTTTAGAACTTTTTAGAGAATCCAGCACCTCAAACTATCTCAAACTGTCTATAAAGTTTTCATGTAAAGTCAAAGTGAAAGTAAGTCAGTCAAATATCTATATCTGTTTTTACCACACAATACACAAGGCGTAGGTAAATGTTGTCTATCAGCCTATTTAACTTTAGTTTACATTCCTAACACACCAACAAAAAAGAAATCATCGATAAAATCCTTCATACATTTTCACAAGCAAAAACTCTACAAAAAAGTACCCATTGTGTCTTTCAAAAATAATCTCAATCCCCATCAACATAAAGTACAATATAACGTTTTCACGTTCCTAATTTGTTGGAGCACTTAACCTTGTTTGTCCATCAGAATCTCGAACGTCAAACAACGAAGCATCGTCAACGTTTTAAAGTGAAGTACTCACGAGGGAAATCTCGTCGTGTAGACACGCTTCAATTTTCGCGAACACAAATAGTTTGTACACGTGTACACTGCCTTTATAGGAAAACTTTCCGATGATACGAATACATTGTATTGAAATCAAGAGTTTTGTTGACGTTTAGAACATGTTTTCCTGTATTACAATTTGTTTATGTTCCTATTTTGGGCTCATAAGATAGAAATGTTAATTTCGGAAACATCTCAATTGCGCTTGTACTTATGTATATAATATCCAGATGTTATTATTTTCGCTTAATGGTTCAGTACTTCCCAATTTTGTTACTATAGTATATTCTATTGATATTAATTACTAAGCATGTTTATGCTTTAATGTCTTTATCGATGTTGTGGTAGCCCGGAGGTTTAAGACGACTTCTCATGAATGAGGGCGCCGGTTCGAAACTTATCAACGGCTAGTACCAATGTGACTCTTTCCGGGTTATATGTGCTTTCTAAGATTATTTAGACACCACTGACAAACGGTGAAGGAAATATCGTGAGGAAACCTGGACTTATAATTTCTAATCATAAGTTTGAAATCGCGAACCCGCACTGAGCAAGCGTGGTGATTAATGCTCAAACCTTCTCCGTGTGAGAAGAGGCTTTGCTCAGTAGTGGGCATTTAATATCTGTTGATGATGATGATCTTTATAGAACGATCGATTAGTACAAAACATGAAGTTCTACTGCAAATCAGTATCGCTCAGCAACTTAATCTCAAGTTTGTTTAATATCAATCGAAAAGAGTATCTTAGCATTGTAGCAAAAAACTTTCATCTGACTAAATAGACACAACATTCATGGTTGAAACCAGAATATTTTTCTTAAATTCCCTGGTCGAAATGTAAATAAAATGTAAAGTAGGAACGCGGTAGAAAGTCTTGAAGCTCAAGACAGAGCCGACTATAGTTTCAATTGTGTGAAAACAGTCGATTAGGGATGTCTCTCGTGGAACATTGTGGCCGGAGTGGTAATTCTTAATAATAGCCTTTTGAAAACGTATTTATTCTAACTGGAAGATAGTTTAGAACGTAAATCTTGCATCGCATCTAGATTGTAGTGTTTTAAGTTTTTGACCTTAAAATCCTTCGTGACGAAGTGGCATGCGCCTATCTCCTATTTCCAGTCGCGGAGAACCTAACGGGTAACCGGAGCTCCGGCTCGACGTGCAGGAGAAGGAACGGGGTGGTGTTTAGTCAGTAAGAGTCTGACACTCCCTCCCGCCTCACCCAGGCGGGAGCAGTCATGCGATGACTTTCCCCGCTTAAAAAAAAAAATCTCCTATTTCCAGTCTGTCCTAATTGAATAAAATAGGTTTAAGCTTATTTACAAACAAAACGATTAAAACCAATAAGCAATACAATTACGTAAGAATATTTCTATTGTAGCTAAAACATACAACAACAAGACTACAAATAAAAATGTACCACAAACTAAAAGATTTAAAACTTTATTTTGACTTTTACTCGTTCCCTGGTTCTCGACATTACACATAAATTGCTTTTCCACTGCCATCTTTTATGTAGACAGGACATTTCCTAATGTATAATAGAAACACATACCAACCATTTACGTTTGAATCCCAGCGCAATCGTGTGAATATTTTACAAATGCTCAACATTGTCAAAAGCCTTTGTTGAATCTGTCAACTTAAATATAAAATGGTCTGTCGTTCACTGCAGTAAGAGGTGTGCTTAATGCATATTCTTTTTGTCTTCGTTATGTTGCTATTTTTATTTATTAAAAACTATCTGTGTTTTTCGCAACTCGATTCAGATTGATATCGTATCGATTATTAAAAGCGATCAATCCACAGAAGAAACCTAAATCATTATACAATAAGCATCAGAAAATCTTAATAACTTCAAGATGAACGAAACGAGAATTTTGGCGCAAAACCATCTGCAAATACTTGACGCCTTCAAAAGTAAATTACTTAGCCAATCCCTTTGTCTTTATAAAAACATTATCTTAACTAAATCAGAGATGAAAATCAACAGGAATATCGCCGGTTTTCTTAAAAGCTTTGTCTATTCAACGGACTGCATCTCACCTTAATTAGAAAAGACCTGATTTCAAAAACAGAATACCGTCTTCAGAAATGTTCTCTCAAACACTAGCATATAACGATAAAATTAAGGAATCTTAGCTGTCTTCAGCAAGACGACGCTTTTAAAAACTAAATTACATTCACATTTTGTTAAAGAATAACCATTTCTATGCTGGCTCGCCTAGAAGCATCTCAGCACAATGCGAAATGAAAGTAAAATGTATGGATGTAAAAATGTCACTTACAGAAATTTGTACGTTTATTTTTTCTTTTGGTAAATGCGTTGGAGATGTCGTGTTATTTTTTGTGGAATGTGTTCAGCTTAGATATGGGGCGAGGGTGTTCGTGTTATTTATTACTTTCATTCAAATTTTGTTTGTAATTTAATTAGAATGTTTGTGTAACTGATTGATGCGTTTTTATACAGGGCTGTTTTGTTAAATGTCTCATAAAGTGGATACCTTTTTAACATGTGTACGGAACTTGCGTCATATTATCTAGAAGTTAAACTAATTGAAACTTAACCAAAGACAGTGAATCAAGGCCTTATTAGCGTTTTCTTCATAACCATAGTCATGACATTTGTTGTCATTTGTTTCTTCATTGAAGCTCAAATTCGTAAGCCTAAAGTGATTGTCGAAACATTCTATTTGAGTTATGAGTTAATTTTTTTTTTAAATAAAAAAAAATTCAGTCGCTTCAATACAAGATTTCCATTCAGACTAATAATGAGGGATTGTTACAAAAAATACTAATTTCATTGACAAAAGAAGCTAATTCGTTGTATAAACACGAAAAGCCTAATGGAAAAACAAAAAATAACAAAATAAAAACATCAAAATGATGACTGAGCCTACTAGCCTGTTCATTTACGATTTTTTCTTTATTCCTTTGTTTTTCAAGTTGTTTACTGACAAAGCGAACCTTATTAATATCTCTTCATTAGTCTTTGTGCTGTACCGGAACAAACGGATAAGAAATAAAAGAAACACTGGCCTCTATATCTAAAGACAGTTATATTAAATACTGACTCAGATTTATTGACGATCTTCAGTGGGGATCTATTCGTTTTTTGTTTTGGTTTGAGCTTGGCAACCGGAGACAAAAAATTGATGGAAGGTATAATTTCGGAGACATCATTGGTTTGACTAGAACGATAATAGTTTCTAGTGATGGTTCGAATTGTAACTAGCGTGTCTAAAATCAGAATAAACATTTAAATGTATCTCTATTTAGAACTGTAACACTATACTCTCCACATGCTCTGTAAAGGTAAGAGGTTGATATAATAATAACAATAATAACATGTCTATGGATCACCATAGACATGTTATTAAGAGGCTAAAACTTACTAAATAAATATCTCTTTAAACAGATTCCTCAAATATTTCTCAAGCAGCTTCACATAAAACATATAAAAACACTTTACTCTAACTACTGAGCATAAAAAAACAATTTTAGCTATGAAAGGTACTAATAATAATAATTTAATCAGTGCGCTTTATGCTGTAGAACTTAAAGCAGATTTTCAAGCGCAGCTTTGTAATAGACTTAAAAATAAGCGCACATTACCGTCGCTGCTTCGACGCAACGAGGCAAAATAAGAGGAGTGCTGAATATCTCTGAGCTCACTCGAACGATATAATATTCCTTGGCGAGTATTAAGATTTGATTAAAATGTGGATTTTGAAGATGCAAAAATGCAGTTGCAGAAATGAATGTAATGGCGTCGTCGTGGTTTCCTTTTATTTTGTTGGCTATGATTATTGTCTACTACATTACTTGAGGTTTGCAGGTTCCTTATTCTTGGTCCGATTTATAAGCCTTTGCTTATGGGATAGGAAGTAAATGAGCAAATAGATAACCTATACTAGCACGCTATCCACGGACACTCGCAATATATGAAGAGTAAAAATTGCGTTGTCGCCCGTATAGAGGTAGGTTGATTGAGCCTTCGATACCCTCATTCACATGGTAAAACAGTTTTGCCCTGGAGTTCTAGAGGCTATATTAAGGTTTATTCGATAAAAGTTGTGTTCATCTTAAACACACATTGAACGATTGTCGTGGTGGCCTGGACATTTAAGACGCCTGCTTCTCATGCATAAGGGCTCCCTCAAGGTTCGGACCTACTAACGGCAAGTACCAATGTGACATTTTCCAAGTTATATGTACTTTCTAATATTATTTAGACTCCACTGACAATTGATGAAGGGAATCATTGTGAGGAGACCTGGGCTTATAACTTCCAATCATAAGTTTGATATCGCCAACCCGCATTGAGCAAGCGTGATGATTAATGTTCAAACCTTCTTCGTGTGAGAAGAGGCTTTGCTTAGCAGTGGGTATTTATAGTCTATTGATGAAACGATTGTCCATAAAATATCAATATCGTAACATCTAAATCTCCCTATCTCTTAGTACATCTCGTCTAGCGTTCAACCACGAACAAAAATGATAGTCATCATTCA